CGTCTCGCTCGCGGCGGCTCCGTCGTCGGGACGTCCGGCGGAGCCGAACATCGACCAGACGCTGATCTTGTCCCCCACGTGTTCTATGTCTATCCTTCGTCTCACGCGGTACATCTTCAGGTGCCGCTGCAACGAGTCGACGACTTGCGAGTCGCATTCCACGTAGTACAAGTCGCTCTCCTCGCTCTTGTACACGACGGCGTTGCACATCACTCTGTCCCGGATATTCAGGGTGTAAATGTTGGGCGCCCCTTCGTCGAGGTGCCTCATATCGTTATCAACCCCTGGAGGAAGGTGGAGGCCTCGTTGCCTCTCACGCGCAGTAAGCTCCTGTCGCTCAAGCGTTCCAGGGTCTTGCCAGGGTCGACTCGGGTCGAGCTGTGCCTAACCGTGCACCGCTGGTGGTGGCCACCGAGCCTTCTACCTCGCTTGCACACTTGGAGAACGGAGCGACTAACGCGGTCGATTATCATAGCGGACGACGTCTCGTGTGGTTTTCGAACGGTCTTTTTTATTTCTACGAAAAATAATACGCAAGTACACTAGCCTGAAACCGGCGTTGGTTGGAATAATGTTGGATACGGTCTAACCTCACTTAACCTCTGAATATTTCGTATCTTAATTATTTCTATACGCAGTGCTGCGCAACAATATTGTGAACGATTATATACATAATTCTTACATTTATTATGGTTATTTGATCACGTTTGTTTCAATCAGTCCCAATTATATGATCCAGTAACTTGAAAGAGCCGAAAGGAACGGTCGTCCGCGGTCCGCCGCGTCCGCGCCTTGAAATCAGATGTGATCACTGATCAGATCAGATGATCCATCAGCTGTTCTTGTTGGCTACACCATGGGTTACACTTGTTACACTTTTTGTTACATTTAGAATGAAAGGGATATAGAATGACGTTAAAGAGAAAGAGAAAGGCGATAAAAAAAAATAATTAAGATACCATCTGATACTATCAACGGATTATCTTTTAACGCAAAAAAGAATTATTTGCATACCTAGTTTTAAGTTGGTATCAGATGGCGCGTCTGTTCCGCGTCCCTAGTCTTTACTTTGTGACCGCTCAGCGATTGGCGGAGCCGAATGCCCGAATGGTTGCTCGGGTTGCTCCACTGCGTCTTTTGTCGGAAGCCGAACGGAACGTGTGTGATCTCGTCGACCGCCTCATGGCATAACCTCTGTTGTAACTACCGAATCTTCCAGAAGCTTCTCTCTGGTCTTGCAACGTCGAAATATTAGGATCGTGAATATATCTTACAGAATTAAGAGACATGGTAAGAATATTTTTTTAATTAACTGTATTTAATTTCATTCTTTTCAATTAAAAATATGTCTGCATAGACACGTATATTGCGGACTTTGCTGCAAATTTCGTAAATAACCTTAACCTGTTCTAGGATGTCCAACGACATTCTGTGCGCACGCTGGTGTTTCGGCCCTTAAAGAGGACTCACGATATGTTTTTATTAAATCAAGGTTCTTTACCGTCGGAAGATCCTGTTCTGTAAGTATCTTGCCGTCGCAATCGCACTTTGTTGCAGTGTATTCTGAATTACTTCTCGATCGAACCATACGTTTTAATTTCTCGGAGAGAGGGAGAGAGGATCACTTATTTATTTACAATATTTATTTATTTTCAGGCAGCAAATGAAGAAGGTTGTAAAAGCGAAAGATTGTTACAGCCCAATAATGGAACGTGTGAAACAAAATAACATGGCCAAAGTGCAGCAAGAAAACGACATTGCAGACCCTCCGCCCCCAGGAGGTAATATCCTGTTACATACATACACTCACATGCATACACACAATTAAAAATTATTACAAATATATTTTATCAATTTCAATATGTTTTTAGATGAAACCTTTGGAGTTAATGCTACCTCGGCAGTTGTCCCTTACAATATAACAAAAGGAAGCACAAGTGTGGTGCCAATAATAGGTGTGGGGAGCAACGTAAGCAGCGGCACACTCGCAATGCCACCAAAGAAAATGCCCTCGATGGCGAAACCCAAGTGGCACGCGCCATGGAAATTGTACCGAATTATCAGCGGTCATCTGGGATGGGTAAGATGTTGCGCCGTGGAGCCTGGTAACGAGTGGTTCGCCACGGGCTCAGCCGACAGAGTAATCAAAGTGAGTGTTCCAATTTTTACGTTTTAATTTACTTAAGTAATGCTGCTCAAGAAATTCATAAAATTTGTGAATCACCCAGCGTGGTCTTTCTGCGGCAAGCTCAACTGTTTTCTAAATTTGCAGATATGGGATCTGGCGACCGGCAAGTTGAAGGTCTCGCTAACCGGTCATGTTAGTAGCGTCCGTGGCCTCGCATTCTCGCAGAGGCAACCTTATTTGTTCTCCTGCAGCGAAGACCAACAAGTCAAATGTTGGGACCTGGAATACAATAGGGTGATTAGAAGTTACTACGGCCATCTGTCGGCTGTATACTCCATGACTGTGCACCCGACAATAGACATGCTGGTGACGGCGGGTCGTGACACCACTGGGCGTATATGGGACATACGTACAAAGGATCATGTACATACATTGGTCGGGCACACGAACACGGTGGCCGGCGTGATCAGTCAGTCCGCCGAGCCGCAGATCATCACCGGCAGCCACGACTCAACGGTTCGCCTGTGGGACCTGGCCGCCGGAAAGTCCCGGGCCACGCTGACGAATCACAAGAAGAGCGTGCGCGCGCTCACGTTCCATCCGTCCCTGTACATGTTCGCCTCGGCGTCGCCGGACAATATCAAGCAGTGGAAGTGCCCGGAGGGCAAGTTCATTCAGAATCTGTCGGGCCACAACGCGATAGTCAACTGCCTGGCGGTGAACGCCGACGGGGTTCTGGTCTCCGGCGCCGACAACGGCACGATGCACCTCTGGGACTGGCGCACTGGCTACAACTTCCAACGGCTCCACGCCCCGGTCCAGCCCGGCTCGATGGACAGCGAGGCCGGCGTGTTCAGCATCACGTTCGACATGACGGGCACTCGCATGATTACGACGGAAGCCGATAAGACTATTAAAATGTACAAGGAAGACGACACCGCCGTAAGTTTTGGTTTTTTACAATAGCAATGGTTACTTATGCGCTATCGCGTGGCAATCGCACGCTGATAAATAAAGCTCGGCTAATTCGCCGTTCTTCTGTGAGAATCTTGCGCATTAACAGATCTGTTATTTATGTTTCCAGAGCGAAGAAACGCATCCCGTCGACTGGCGACCCGATATAATAAAAAGAAGAAAATACTAACTTACTCAAATATATATACACTGATCCAATTAATTTAACGTGTGACGCATTCAAAAATAAGAAAAAAATATTTTTTATATTATTTATATAGGATTACTTTGACTTCCAGACTGTAATGGATAAATCTGTCCAAGCTGCGATAAAAAGAAAAAATTTCCACCGAGAGTTTCGTTTCAGAAATATATACATATTTCGTTTATCATAAGCAAAAGTTCATATCTCGAGCGCGTATCGACTCCTCTCTTTCTCGCCGCATATACATTTATCTTGTACCACGTGACAATTGTACGAAAAAGTGCAGCTAAAAGAAACCGGTATGAAAACCGGTATTTATATTATTAAATAATTGTGATATACATATATGTGATATTTGATAATATAATCTAAATAAAGTGGGAAATATAATTTTACATATTTTTAATGTTTAATTATAGCCATAATGAAATATATATATATTAAATACATGTTATATGTTATATATTTTTATATATTAAATATTTTATTAAGTATTCCATACTATTTTTTCGTGCTTCTGTATTTTCATGTAAAGCAGTCTTCAAAATGCACCAATTTTGAACCTGTTTTTTTGTCACTGCATTTTTTTTACATGGTAAATAAAAAATTAAAAAATTAATTTTATTTATATTAACAAAATAGAAATGTAGGTATTATTCAATAATTAATTCGATAATTATAAGTCACTAATTAATTAGTTTAATGGGGTTCAATCTAAGTTACGTTAAATATCTTTTTCTCAATAAATATATTATTTTTGAAATTGTAATTTTCATCTACTTTATCTCAATCAAATGTTATCTGTTTTTTTATTTTTTCGACATCTTTATACTACAAACTTATATATAATAATAAAAATTAACTCTTCTAAAGACAAATGAATCTGAAGCCTAGGAATCATACGTTTTCGAGAGATGTATAATGCTTACATATCTAGACGTAAAACATAAATCTTTTTGTCTTTTTCATTTTCTGCGCGATATATTTGAAAAAATGTAGAAAGGACAAAAATTGATTGCGTCAATTGACAGGATCAATAATTTACGAAACGATCAATCTAAATTGATCATCTGAAAATTTTAGAAATAAACTAGTAATTAAAGCTGAATTAAGGTCAAAGTGCAAGATAAAGATCAAGGGATGCTATATGATTAAAGAATACGTGTATTGCAAATATATTTATGTATCAATATATGTATAGCCATGCATATAAAGCTTAATAGACATTAGACGTAAAAAAAAGAGGTATAAAAATATTTTCTATGTTGTCGCTCTTTTTATATCAAAACGTTGCAACATTAACTGGAAGAAACCTCTCGGCTGTATACATCGTATAAAAATATAGTAACAAATGTGTACGTTTAAAATTCTGTCTCAGATTTAATGGTGGAACAATCGGAATTCGGTGTGAGCCAGCACAATTCCGTGTTCGTTGCAGGCCTCGATTACTGCTGCGTCGTTTGTGGAACCAGCAGGACTAGCAATAAACTTGACACCACTCTGTAACAAAAAAAAAAAAAAAATCATGAAAAAACACAATATTAATAAATTTATTAGTCTACAAAAAAGAAAAGTGTCCATTGAGTGGTGTTTAACTTACCACGTAATTTTTTTTATTTTAAATTGCTGTATCTACGTGTAATAAAATAATTGTACATACAAGTCTGGCCCTATCCACGTTGTCCCTGAATGGGAAGAAGGCATCGCTGCTCAGAGCAACATTATCCAACTTCTTGATCCACTCGATCCTATCGCTCTCCGACAGTTTCACAGGAATCACTTCGTACATGGCCGCCCAGGTAGCTTCGTCCATGTCCTTCCCAACGGACCCGTTGACGTAATTGTCAATGGCATTAGAGATCTCCGCTCTCTTCACACCCTTCTTGAACTTCATTCCTGTTACCTTTGGATGCTGGCGAAGCCACCTGTAATAATACACAGATGCGAGATGTATAATAATACATGATAATAACTTTTATAATTATTTGTGTCTTTAATATTTGAAATATATATAATAAGAAGGTAAAACGAACCAATTATCGGCTTTGTCGCCAGCGAGCCTAGTGCAGTGAATTCTCGACTGCTGTCCGGCTCCCGTGCCGATCACTTGCCCGTCTTTGGCGTAACAGACAGAATTGCTCTGCGTGTACTTCACAGTGATGGTGGCCACGATCAGATCGCGGATAGCGCTCTCCGACAGAGTCTTCGACTTCGCCGTCACGACGTTGTGGAACGCCGATTTTTCGATGTTCGCATCGTTGCGTTTCTGCTCCATAACCAGGCCGTACAGAGTCTTGCGCTCCATTGGGGACGGTACGTAAGAAGGATCGATTTGGAGCACGCAATACGCGCCACCCTTCTTCTTCTTCAGTATCTCGAAAGCCTCCTCCGAGTAGCCAGGCGCGATAATGCCGTCCGAGACCTCTCTAAAATAATTACAGAAATTCGTTAATATAAATATCATCCTGTGTCAATATTATATTATCATTAACTTGTGTTTTTGTATTATTAATGTAAAAATTAATTTAAAAATTGTGTAAAAGTAATGTAAGTTTAAAAATTGTATTGGTATCATAATCATACGTTAAAAAAATTAGCATCAATACCTCGATATGATCTTTGCTGTCACAGCGTCGCACGGCTCGGACAATGCGACGAAATCGCCGAAGCTGGACATTCGATCGGCGCCTCGCGCACGAGCGTAAGCGGTCGCCAGAGGCGTGAGCTGTTCGTAGAGGTCGTCCACCTGGCACAGCTTCGCCTGTACACCGTCCAGGGGAACGCCGACCGCGGCGCCGGCCGGGCTGACGTGCTTGAAGGACGTCGCCGCCGGTAAATTCAGAGCGGACCTCAACTCCCTCACCAGCTGGTAACCGTTCAGCGCGTCGCACAGATTGATGAAGCCGGGCGACCCGTTCAGCACGGTCAACGGCAGCTTCTCCAGGGTGGTGAATATCTGCGCGGGCCTCTGATGCGGATTCATGCCGTAGCGGAGCGTCAGCTGAGAGACCCCGGCGCCGTACTGCTTGCGGAAGTAATCCGAGATAGCGTTGTCGTATTCGGCGGTGTGAGTGAACGCTTTCAGGGCTAGAGTTTGCCTGGAAGTTACATATAAACATATATGTATAAATATACATCGGAGTGCCGAAAAGCCGATTTTAAATGACTGCAATGCTGCATTATGCAAAGTTCAAGCCAGCCCACCTAGTCTGTAGGGAGGTGTTCTTGTCGGCAGCGGCGTCCATCTCTCTGATGACCTTTTCGTAATCGCTGGGGTCACAGATAACTGTAACTCTGCTGTGGTTCTTGGCGGCAGCGCGCAATAAAGTCACACCACCGATATCGATGTTCTCTATCACGTCCGCGACCGTCACGTTCGGTTTCGAAATGGTATTTACAAAGGGATACAGATTGCAAACCACCACTTCGATAAGATCGTAATTTTGCTTCTGGAGGTCTTGAGCGTCGGAATTTGTCAACCTGGCGAGAATGCCTATTGCAATAAAAAAAAGAATGTAAAAATTAATTGAAGATACATAAATTTATTGTATTTTAACATTTGTTCTTTCATTTAATTGAATAACATTTTAAATATGAGAATTTATTGTCATTTAACTGTAACAAATTCATTCTTACCGGCATGAATGGCAGGATGAAGAGTCTTCACGCGGCCACCAAGCATCTCGGGCGCTCCCGTAACTTCAGAAACATCTCGCACCGGTAACTTGGCGTCTCTCAATGCCTGTGCGGTACCTCCGGAAGCAATTAGAGTTAATCCAAGTTCGTGCAGTTTTTTTGCCAATGGTAGCAGATCGGTCTTGTCAGACACGCTTAAAAGAGCTGAAAGTTTCATGAAATTGATTAGCATCTCTGTCATGATTGCTCAAAAATATTACACATAAAATGTCAGAAAAAAAAATTCTAAAAATTGGAAAAATAATAAAATCAGCAAAATCTATAAATGCACGTGGAACATATAAAAATTTATATTTCATTTGATGCATATTCTTCCCAGCAAACCAATACGTAACTGTAATATAACTAAGGGAGCACATGGAAAGAACAATGATATATTTTATAGTTATAGAGATGATATGTAAATGCAATATAATTTTGAGGGCACTTTAGAAGAACAAAGATATATTTCTTTGTTACGTATATAATACATAACAATTACTTAAAAATGTAATGGAACTCACACGTAACTCAAAATACATAACATAGATGGAAAATTGTA